GGTTGACTCTCGGTCGAGATCGGCGGGAAGGTTAACGAGGAGTTTATCGACGGCGTCTTCGAGGATCCGGCAGAAACTGGGGAGGTTACTGAGGTCGGATTCGACGAAAACGACGACTTCTTCAATCGCCGGCGAGAGAGATCTCGAACGTCAGACGGCGGAGACGCCGATTATGTCAGCGAGGGATAAACGGAGAGAAGACGCGGTTTTACAGCGATCGACGTCGAGCGCGCAGAGAGCGCTCAAGGGATTGCAATTCATAAACAAAACGACGAGAGGAAACAGCTGCGACTGCGATTGGGATTGCGATTGCGATCAGATGTGGAAGAAAGTTGAGAAGCGTTTCGGATCGCTTTCTAGAGATGGATTGCTCGCGCGAGAAGATTTTGGAGAGTGCGTTGGTAAGTAATATGAAACTCAGAAACAATAATCTATGGCGGATTCGAAATTTATGTTATGGAGACTAAAATTTGAAATTTGAAATTTGAAAAAAGGGATGGTGGATTCGAAGGAGTTTGCGGTTAGTGTATTTGATGCTTTGGCTCGGAGACGGAGACAGAAATTGGAGAAGATAACGAAAGATGAGCTTCGTGATTTCTGGTTACAGATTTCTGATCAAAGCTTCGACGCGCGTCTTCAGATTTTCTTTGATATGTACGTTTCCGATTCCCTCTCTTTTTAAGTTTTTCTTTCTTTTTTGGGTTTGTCTTTACGTTTATAACTGAAACGAGAATAACGCATTTTCGATTTGCGAAGCATAAGAAAACAAACGTATTGATCCAAAATCAACGAATTATTAGTTGACGACAGTAATAATTGAAGAGAGTTTATCTGTACTTAATATCTTATTTAGTATCTCGAATTGTGAATAATGCAGACGAACTCTCATCAACTTGCATTTTTATTTTTTTATCGAATTGGGTTACATTTTTCTTTTTGTTGTTTTGTCATTTGTGGTATTTTGTAAAGTTTGTATAGTTATATGATCACGAAGTAAATTTTGTCAATTAAAGAAATTATTTAGCTCACCAATAATCCTTGATTATCGTTATCTCTTTAGTGAGACTATGGCAGCTTCACAGCTAGTTTTCTACAATTTGGGGAATTATTAGGCATACATTAAGATACACTTGTGTTAGTTATTTTGAAATTAAGATGTTTTTTAAGGCAAATGAAACCGAAATGTTTTCAGTAATCTATTCCTTGTAGATAGATAATACATCATTTAAATCACGTGGTGTTCATAGCCGTTGGATCTTGGTGGTTCACGCAATCAACGGTGAAAAAGATTCAAATGAGTTTGAGTAACGGGCCACGGTTTACTTGGCCCAGTAAAACAAACTACTGTAACCAATTTTTCAAAAAAGTTTCCTCTTTCAGATTTCTTCCCGCAATAAGTTTCTTGCAAGTAAAGATCAAGATGCCTTTCTGACTCTTAACCCACCAAATTCTTAACTGATTTTGGGATTTTTCATTTTCTTAGCAAACATTTACTTCAGTGAATTTTTCCGTAATCCTGTCATTTTTGTGACAAAAGTAAATAAACATTTGCTTGTTAAATGCCTGCAAATTAATGATTCTGGTATAATTTTAAAAAAATATTTAATGCGTTTCTGAAAAACAATTTTTTATAATTGTTACCTGCTATGTTACAGGGCTGACAGCAACGAAGACGGGAAGATCACTAGAGAAGAAATCAAAGAAGTAACTTTTTAAAACACACACAAACGCAAACACGTAAATTACGTTTGAAAAAAAAAAAAAAATCTCAATAATGCTTTATTCCATTGAAACGCAGCTTTTAATGCTAAGCGCATCAGCAAACAAGTTAGCAAAACTCAAGGAACAAGCAGAAGAGTACGCTTCTCTGATTATGGAAGAACTTGATCCAGAGGACTTGGGATACATTGAGGTTAAAACCATATATTTTTACTATTCACACACACTAATATCAACAACTTTGTTTTGTTGATATATCTTTTGTGTTGTTTCAGTTATGGCAACTGGAGACACTCTTACTTCAGAGAGACGCGTACATGAACTACAGTAGACCGCTTAGCACAACAAGCGTTGGAATGAGCACACCAAGACGAAGTCTAATCAGACCTCGTCACGTGGTTCGAAAATGTAGACAAAAGCTTCAGTGTCTGTTTCTAGATAACTGGCGAAGAAGCTGGGTTCTGTTACTGTGGGTCATCATCATGGCCATTCTCTTCGTCTGGAAGTTTTTACAGTACAGAGACAAAGCTGCTTTCAAAGTCATGGGTTATTGTTTAACCACTGCTAAAGGAGCTGCAGAGACACTCAAGCTCAATATGGCTCTGGTTTTGTTACCTGTGTGTAGAAACACCTTGACTTGGCTAAGATCCACACGCGCTCGAGCTTTTGTTCCTTTTGATGATAACATCAATTTCCATAAGGTAAAAATACAATCCAAACTTTACTCTTTCTATTTTTTCAGTCTTCAAAACTTGAGATCAAGACTCTTTCCTTTGGGTTTATGCAGATTATTGCTTGTGCCATAGTGATTGGGATACTTGTTCATGCTGGTACACATTTGGCGTGTGATTTCCCCCGGATTATAAACTCGAGTCCAGAAGAATTCGCACTGATCGCTTCTTCCTTCAACGGCGCTAAGCCGACATTCAAAGACCTGATGACAGGTGCAGAAGGAATCACCGGGATCTCGATGGTGATCTTGATAACCATCGCCTTCACATTAGCATCAGCTCATTTCAGGAGGAACCGTGTGAGGCTACCGGCACCACTTGATCGGTTAACTGGCTTTAACGCGTTCTGGTACACTCATCACCTTCTAGTGGTTGTTTACATTATGCTCATTGTGCACGGGACCTTCCTCTTCTTCGCTGATAAGTGGTATCAGAAAACTGTAAGCACAACCTAATCTCACTTTTGCTCTTAAACAAAAATGTCTTAAACCTAAATTTTCTTGCTGTTTAACTTCTCAGACTTGGATGTACATCTCGGTTCCTCTGGTGCTCTATGTGGCAGAACGAAGTCTGCGAGCTTGTAGGTCCAATCATTACTCTGTCAAAATACTGAAGGTAATCACCGTTTACTGAGAAATTCCTTCCTTTAAAAGGTGTTTGAATAACAAAAACACATAACATGATCTCTACAGGTTTCTATGCTACCTGGGGAAGTACTAAGCTTACTCATGTCAAAGCCTCCTGGTTTTAAGTACAAGAGCGGTCAATACATATTCTTGCAGTGTCCCAAAATCTCTCGATTTGAATGGTGAGTAGTAGTACTTGAATGCCAAATTCCCCATAATGTTAGCAAAAATCTTGTCTGAGTTTTTTTAACACATGAAGATGTTCCTAAAACCTTTCCAGGCACCCATTTTCTATTACCTCTGCGCCAGGAGATGAGCAGCTTAGTGTTCACATCCGAACACTCGGAGACTGGACAGAGGAGCTACAACGAGTTCTAACAGTGGGCAAAGATCTTTCATCATGCGTGATTGGTCGAGCAAAATTCTCAGCCTATTGCAATATTGATCTAGCACAGTAAATTCCAAGACACCTTCTCTGCTTCCTCCTATCTATTACATTAAAGACACTTGGTACTAATACATGCCTCGTTGATCCTGTATTCGCAGCCGACCGAAATTACTAGTAGACGGTCCATATGGAGCTCCAGCACAAGACTACAGAAGTTATGATGTGTTGCTCCTCATTGGATTGGGGATTGGAGCTACTCCTTTCATAAGCATCCTCAAGGATCTATTGAACAATTCAAGAGAAGAACAGACAGTAAGCTCGATTCACTGCAACACAAGAGCCAAGTCTTTTGCACCAAATAACGTAATGTCTCTCTAACTTCATATGGCGCAGGAAAATGAGTTCAGCAGATCAGATATCAGCTGGAATAGCCATACATCTTCATATACAACAACGACCCCAACTTCAACACATGGAGGGAAAAAGAAAGCAGTGAAGGCTCACTTCTACTGGGTCACAAGGGAACCAGGATCCGTAGAATGGTTTAGAGGAGTAATGGAGGAAATATCAGACATGGACTGCAGAGTAATAAAGCATCAACATACTTCTATTTCCATCACCACTCTAACCTAGTTGATCGAGATACTAACCTATTCGTTATCTTGAAACAGGGCCAGATTGAGTTGCACAACTACCTTACGAGCGTATATGATGAAGGAGATGCAAGATCAACCCTGATAAAAATGGTCCAGGCTTTGAACCATGCCAAACATGGAGTTGATATCCTATCCGGAACACGGGTAAGCATTATTGCAGGGCTTATATAATCAGAATATTAACTACCACTACATAAGTACTAACATAACATCATTCGAACAGGTGAGAACACATTTCGCAAGACCCAACTGGAAGGAAGTCTTCAGTAGCGTAGCGAGAAAGCATCCAAATTCAACAGTCGGTAAATATTCTATATACAATCAGCTGCTTACCGGCAAGACTTCTGATAACATTATGTGAAATCAATTTAATGGTACTGTGCAGGAGTGTTTTACTGCGGCATACCAACCGTGGCAAAGGAGTTGAAGAAGCAAGCACAAGAAATGAGTCAAAGAACAACCACCCGGTTCGAGTTCCATAAAGAGCATTTCTAGTTCAATGTTTATCATCACTTTCTTTAAAGTGAGATTCAAATCATGCCAGCCATTATTTTTTCTCATGCTAACTTCACAGCCACTTAGAAAAAAGATAGATTATATACACTATTTTCGCAAAGGAAACATTGTCCTGCATGTTTGTATAGACCCGCCTAAAGGCATATGAAAATAACAAAAATATATAAGTGTTACTACTATACGGAATAACATACGAGTCTTTCCAATCCAAAGACGATCCAATCTCTATTTCCATTACCACAAGCTAACCAGTCACAGAGAAAGATAATTAAATAACAAAGTTTAGCCACACAAGGTGCCTCAAGCACAGTAAATCTGACAGTAAATTGGTACTAACTGTAGGAGGCAAAACAGAGATTGGAGTTTAATCATCTTTGATCCTTCTTAGCAATTTAGAAGCCCACTTTCGAACCCGTCTCTTAAGCGTATAACCCACACACACTCCAGCGACGAAGAAAACAGCGCATAGCTTCGAACATGTCCACCCCGAAACTCCGCTGTAACAAGCAAACAGAGTCCCAAGATGAAAAAATTGAACAGAATTTTAGTATACAAAACAAGTTTACTCAGTTACATATTAGTCAAATCGACTAAGAGCAACCCAAATCTCCTAATGAGCCTGGCCAAGTAAGGATCTTAGATGATTTTAACAAAATTTTAAGCTTTTTCTGATGTGGAAGTGGGAAGTCATCAAAGTCTCTAGCTTTTGAGCTATAACAAAGAATTTGCTCTCCGCAATTGTAATTGATCACTATTAGAACAAATTTCCGACGATATCCAATCCAGAATAAAAAAAATTGGATCATAAGCAGATTACCTCGGAGGTCTGTTGACCAAAATCCCGGCTCCGTCGTATGAAGTCGCGTTGCTGGTGACTCGTTTTTCCTTCATCAGATTTTCGGCAAAATCAGAAAGAGAAGAGGAAGAAGACGAAGCTGCCGATTTCGTGTCTTCCACTATCTTGCTGTAAAACTTCTGTAAACCCTCCATCCCTTCGTTGGGAAAAACGACTAATTAGGGTTTATGGTTCACTGCCTTCTCTTTCCCAGCTGAGTGATTCCGGCGAGGGAAATCTCTTGCTAAAGTGACTTGCCGTTGACCAAAACCAAAGAGGACAAAATTGGAATTTCGATACTTACTCGGAGACAAACAAAGACCGCAATTAAAAAAAGAAGAGAAAAGCATAAATTCGAATGGAAAATTCATTTATTAATTTACAAAAACAAAAAATGAAGGCAATTTTTTTTTTTTTTTTTTTAGTTGAAAAGAAAATATCTTTGACTAAACTTGTGTAAAATAATACTTCCTCCATTTCATAATAAGTGTCGTTTTGACTCTTCACTTACCCAATGTATCTAGATATTAATGGATGTATTAAGACTCTAAACATATTCAGATACATCATTAAATAGTCCAAATTCATTTTGTCAAAAAGACACTTATTATGAAACGGAGGGAGTAATATAGATCAATATTAAAATTAATGACTTTTAAATAGTGATATATAACTTTTTTTTTACAACAAATTGTGATATATAACTATTACAAGAGTATACAAACATTTGATTTAAACTATAAAATCTCATGTAGTAGAACATACATGATTATTCAATGACTCACCAAAACAACTTTATTTTAATTTTAAACAAAATAGATATCATATCACCCATTGAACTTAACAACACTCCGATATTCTTCGATTCTTTTAGTAGTATATAGATCAATTAGTTTCTTCTTGATGGAATCGATAACCTTGAGAATCATACGGACTAAATGCTTCGAGGAACAAGTTGGATTTCCGCAGAGGTTTGAGTCCCATGTCACTACACATATCATTAGCATGTTGGATGCTGAAAGTAGAAATGCAGTGACTTTTATAAAATCTGCTCGATCTTTTCATCACTTCCATTTCTTTAGAGAATTGGTCCAACATTTTCTCTTTGCTCGGTAATTTGAATTTCTCATCCACGAGCCGGCTTAACCACAGTGAACGTAGCTCTGATGTGCGTACGTTCGAGCTGCTTTGAACGTATCCCACAAAGCACATGTTTGGTATCAATGGATGTATTGTTCCCCTGAAATTTATTTATTAATTTTTTTTATAATCATAACCAACGAATCAGTTTCAAATTAGCATAAGAATTAATATTATAAGCTTGAATTAATTATCTCAAAATTTAAGTACCTGTACAAAGGCATGACACCGTATGGAAACTCAAGCCAAGCTCGAAAAGGTTCAGGAACAATGGCTTTGAGCTTCTTCATGCCATCATAACCGGTCGCGAGCATCACAACATCAGCTTCTAGCGTAGTCCCATCCTCAAACTTGATCCCTTGATCGTAAAACCACCATTTTGATGTTTTCTTAAACCGGATCATACCCTTATCCGCTTCCTCAAAGAAATTCTCCGGTATGATGGCCATTTGACAAGAAGCGTAGTCCTCTTCAAAAGAATGGTCCGGTTTAAGACCATATCTCTTTAGAGGAAGCTTCCACATAACATATGATTCGATGAACTTGGAAACCATCGCACGCTGTATTTTCCTATGTTTATAAGGAATTAGAAAATCCACAAAAAAATTTGCGCAATTTATAGAGACAAAATGAAGGGTTAAATTCAAGATCACTAACCAGAAGAGAGAATAGGAGGCAAAAGATGGTTCTAAGGAAGCTTTGGTTAGGCCTATCATGGAGGAACTGAGAAGCTCTTGTTGAGTAGAACAAGAAGAATGGTAGGCCCCAGATCCAATAATGCGGAATCACCCAATGTGCTGTTCTCACCACCATTGTGCATGCTTGTCCTCCTCCTCCTGAAAATATTTAATATTTAATTTTATCTATTTTTTCGACTTGAGCCAATTGTTAGAGTGAAGCTACCCAAGTGTTAATTGTAAGATATATACCTTGATTAGCTAAAGCAGTCTCTAAAGCCAAATCAATGGCGGATTTCTTGAAGCCAATGACGGCGACTTTCTTGCCACGGAGGAGATGAGAAGCTTCTTCTTTCTCTAACTTGCAGTAATCCATCGAATGCATTACTTTCCCTTCGAATATCTCCGGCCCTTTCTTTGCCGGAAAAGTCGGTATTCTTGGTACATCGCCGTATTTTCCAGTAAACACTACTACAAACTCAAATGCATGCCACTGCACACACATACACACACAATAATTTACAATTAGAAGTTATCATTTTTTTTATTGCTAAAATGGATTAATATATTTGGGAATGAAGATGGATCTGCATGAAAGCATACATAATCAAATATATATGTGACGGAAGCATGTAAGAGACATTAAAACGTACCTGAATATCTCCAGCATCTCCGGTTTTAACGGCAACTTCCCAGACAGGTTTTCCGGGCAGCAAGTTGCCGTATGCACCAAGGTCAACCATCTGAGGAGTTTCCCCGTCACCGATGAACCTAACTTCGATGACCTTAGAGCCAAACTTCATGAACTTGAGGATATTAAAATGCTTAGCGTAAGATTCCAAGTAATCTAATATCTCAACGTAAGATGGGAAAGTAGGGTCATCTCTATTGAGCCATGGAAAGTCAGAGAATTCGTAACTGACTCGAGCCGATTGTAACTTAGTCGTCCCGTAGGTGCAGCTCCTCCAAACACCTCCAACCGAGTCCGAGGCTTCGAAAACGGTTGGGTTATGTCGAGCTAAGTGTTTAGCGGCTGCTAAGCCGCTGACACCAGCACCAATGATCGCTATTCTTGAAGAAGTAAGCTTATCACAGTTATTAGAAGCCATCGAGAGAGCTAGAGAGAGAAATGGTTTTGATGAAGAGTGTTTTGAAGTTTGAGTGATTTGTGTGTTTGCATGCATGGGCTTATTTATAAGGTGTTTTCGGGTCGGGTCGGGTACTTGGGTATTGGTTTTATTAGGGTGCATATTTCTTTGTACGAGAAATTTGGTGGTTACAATTAGGATATTTCCGCAAGCAATTAATGTGAGATCAATAATTCGGCTATTCTGTATGTGTTCATGTTAAATTTCTAAGTCCTTTCAAAAAGTCTTATAGTGTGTGTATATATAATATAATTTATTAAACTTGTTATGTAGGGTAGATGGATCCTGGAATGAAGATGATCCCACAAGTGGCATAATGAGTTTGAAGACCTTTACGTACGATTCCTTCAAAAAGGTCAAATTGGTTTTTGAACCAAGAACTAGCAATGAACGAACACTTCCTAGTTAGGCACGTATTGAGGTATGTTCGCACCAGAAACTGTATCTTCTCTTATGTGAGCACGTTGGTACTATATTGGTTAGACTTAGACATGGAAATTTTTGGTCTTCCTGACAAAATTGATGAGTTTCCGCATTGCGGAAATTTCCTCGCGTTTCTTTACTCTTCTTCCCAATTTTAAAGGAAAAATAGGTATAAACTGACTTAATGCAAATTAGTTAATAATAATATCCATTAAAATTCAACGAAAAAGAATAAAATGTAACTCATGGATATTTACTAAAGGATATCTATGTTCAATTTCTACTTGGTTTCTGTTCAATTTAAAATGTAACATATAAGAAATAGGGTGAATTAGTTTAACAAAGATATTAATAAAAACATCAGATTGTGAATTGGATATATGGGAAAAGACAAGAAAAAGGAATAAGAAGCAAGTACAACAAATGGAAAATAAGAGATCTCAGCTATAGACCCCCCTGAGTCCCACGTCACGTGGAAGGTGACTGTTTGTAGCTGTCTTTGTAGACTTCACACACGTGCGTGTGTATGTAGATACTCCAAGCCATCCTCAAGACCGTACTCTTTTCGTTTTTACACCATCCTCTCTCGACATTCATTAACTTCATAAGTTGAATAAAACGTGTGCCCCTCTTTTCTTAGTTCCACATTATGTATTGTCTTCGTCAAGTTTTTTCACGAGTTTCACCTTCTGTTCATGTCTGAAAGATTATCCTCTTTTTCTTGGGAAGGTCGAATTTTCCAGCAATATAATAATCCAGCTTGGTTTTACCATTAATGTTTCAATTTAGATAATATTGGACCTTTTCAACTTGTAGTCTTTAAGTTTATATCGTGTGTACTATTAGTTTGGGTTGTGTTTTCCTTATTTTAGGCTACATTTCATTGGCAAATGGCAACCGTGGCAAAGGAGTTGAAGAAGCAAGTACAGGAAATGAGTCAAAAATACAACCACCCGGTTGGAGTTTTATAAAGAGCATTTCTAATTCATTGTTACAAGCTAAGCCAGCTTCTATCATCACTTTCCCTAAAGTTGGAACTAAATCACGCCAGTCATTATTTTTCTCATACATATGCTAACTTCACAGCTACTTAGCAAAGTAGATTAGTAGATCATATACAGTTATACTATGTTACAACTTACAAGGAAATATTGTCCTGCAAGTTTGTATAGACTCGCCTAAAGGCATAAAAATAACAAATATAAGTTACTAAACAGACTTATATATCTTTCCAGAGATTACAAACCCAAGCACTGTTTCCATTACCATAAGCTAGCTATTATAGTCGCAGACTGAAGAGAACTAAACAACTAAGCTTAATCGACAAAGTGTTGTTAAGTTCAATGGGTGATATGGGGTTTAATTACCAATGCTTCGGGGTTTAATTACTCTCCAGTTTGAAGGAGTTGGTGAAATGGAGACAGTCAATTCGAGAGCCAAAAGGGAGTGTCCCAAGTGAGGGACATCTCTTGCTAAAGTGTGACTATTTTAATATTTATAGCTATTTGTTGTGTCCCACAGGACAAAGTTGGAGTTTTGTGCTTATTCGAAGACCAAGACCGTAATAAAAAAAGAACAAATAGTTAGTTTACTTTAATTTTTTTTTTTTCAATTCCTCCTTCCTAAAGATAATAAAATAAAGGAAATTTAATTTGCTAGTTGAAAAGAAAATGTTGTTGACTAAGGTGTAAAAAAAGAAAACAAAATCAAAAGTGATACATAACTTTATAATTATATATATATCTTCATACAATAGTAAGAGTATAA